AGGAGGGCAGGAGGAAAGGAAGGAAGGAAGGAGGGAAGGAAGGAAGGAGATATGACCAGTGGCTTAGGAACAGGGAAAGAGGTGCAGCCTGGTCAGCATATCCCAGGACCCTTGGAGGAGACTGGTCCAGCTGCCTCACATCTCCAAGCTCTGCAATGGGCCACGTACAGCTTTAGGGACTGGGACTCACTCAGAGAGATTCCTCTTTTCTGAGAAGACCCGGAGGATGAAATCTCCCTCCTGGTGGGGCTCATAGGTGGAGGGCACGATGACGTACTCGCTGGGAGGCAGGCGGAAGCGCTGGGACACTTCCCGCATGTTGATGTAGGTTTTGCTCCTGGCCTTGGAGGCATTGTACAGGAAGAAGTCCTTCTGCAGGTGCTTCTTGTTCCCATGCATCTGTGGGAGAGAGGAGCCCATGGGATCTGAGCCCGGGCAGTGGGGGAGATGCCTTGTCCTGCTCACACTCCCCTCCACAGTCCCCTCCCGACTCCTAGTCACCCATTTCACAGTCACGACCCTGGGGCTCCCTACTCCATGTTCTCTCCTTTTCTATTGAGGTTCAGATGTGAAGATCCGGCCTATCATTCCCACCCTCAGGGCCACTTACCAGAACTGCTGTCATCAGTTACAAATCACCTGCAGACGGGGAAGGACCCCAAGGAGGCAGGAGGGGACTTGGCTGGGCGCTGAGGCAGTGATTCCTCCATCTCTGAGAGGGTAGTCATCCTCAGAATGTGTCTGACTGAGGGGATGACTGTGTGCATGAGCGTGTTTGTCTAAGTGACTGTGTGCAGGAGTGTGTGAGTGTGGATGAGTATGAGTGTCAGTGTGAATGAGTGAGAATGAATAAGTCTGAGTGTGAATGAGTCTGAGTGTGTGTGAATGAGTGTGTGAATGAGTGTGTGAATGAGTGTGAGTGTGTGAATGAGTATGGGTGTGTGAGTGTGGATGAGTGAGTACCAGTGTGTGACAGGCAGTCTGGTGGGCATGAAGAAAGGCCGCATCATGTGGCGGGGTGGGGGAGGTGTCATGCGGTGCCCTGAGGCACCCGCTCTGGAGCTAAGATAAAGCAGCATGCCCTCTCCTACCATAGTCCTGCCCGCAAACCCCACCAGGAAGCGTCCCAGTGTGCACAGACAGACGCACAACCCCCAGGTAATGCTGCAGACAGCTTCTGGCCACTGTCACTTCTTTACCTCTTTGGGAACCTTGAAAAGAAACAGAAAAAGAAGCTGCTCAGATTCTGTGAATTTCGGATCTGAATGGGAACGAGAGGCTTGCAAGGAGGGAATGCCAGCAATTGTAGAGTCGATGAAGAAATTACTCCCTTGTGTACCTACCCTCACCCCCAGATTCTTCCACTCATTACAAACACCTAAGAGGTTCTGATACAGGAGGGCCTGATGGCAGGCACTCTGGGGTCACTGTGTACCAGGGAAGCCAGAGGAGCCCTCCGGAAGCCTCCCGGGGTTAGAAAACCCTGAAAGCCTCCTCCCTGGGAGGGTGTGTGTTTCCTGGGCTGAAGCAGGTCAGGACTGCACACCTCGTAGATGGCAAAGCCAATGGTGAAGAGGTTGGCCCCCAGCTTCCGCTCCTTCCTCCGGTTCTTCTGCATCAGAGCCACCAGGAAGCTGCAGACCACCTGGGAGTCGTCAGGGTCATCGTCCTCCTCCAGCAGCTTCAGACGGTACTGCGGGTTGGTCCAGAAAGTGTCTGCGGCGCCAGAAAGGAAATGCACACTCAGAGCTGCCTCTCATAGACAGGGCAGGGAGGGAAAGAAGCCGCATCCACGTGCCCCGTGCATAGTATGGAAACATGTTTCAGGCATTTGCCTAATTATCTGGGGGGTAGCCCGATGGAGCTGCACTGACTTGGGTATATGACTTCCTGTCTGTTAGCTAGTATAACGGTAATCAGAACTGTTGGAGACAAAAACTTGAATTCTGTTTCCAGTTAAAACAGAGAGGCTTGTTAAGGGTTTAAAACAATTGCAACTGGGGAACTACGTAGCTCATTGAAATGGAACCAGGTAGCCCCAGGGCAGCTTCGTTATACAAGTATTCTTATGGGGTAAAAAGAGGAACCAAACCACAGGGAGGGCACTTCTAGGAAAATCAATGACGACTGTAATAATCACACTCTGACAGGTTACTGATTATTAATAGCTGTCGTTAGTGATTACAGTAGTTTCACAAGATGCTTACATGCATTTTCTTTGTCTGTCTTGCAAAAATATCTTGTTGGCAACAGCACCTAGACGGCACTCTTCCTGAGTACACGTATTTTGAGGGGTACAGATGGTCACTTGGTTAAGACCCCTCGGGGCATATGGTTTCACATCCTTGTTTTGACCACCGAGGAAAAACATGTTTTTCTCAAAAAACATAGCTGTTAGTCTAGAAATCCAGATTAAAATTAGATAGCATGGTTAGCCTATTACGCCTCTGTCTCACTGACTGCACTGAACGTTATCTTCTCCTGAGACAAAACAATTAAAAATAAGGACAATAATGATAATAATAGCCTTTCTTTCTTGAGATAGGATAGTAAAAGGAGGTAATGACACCGTTAGTTTTCTTAATAACGCAGCACGTTACTATGTGCTGGGCACTGTGCTGAACACTTCCACGCATTATCTCATCAAATCACTGAAACCTCTGACCAGCCCGATGAGACAGGTATTATAATTGTCTCCATTTTACAAATGGAGTAACTGAGGCACAAAGAGGCTAAGTGGCTTACAAAGTTCTCACAGCTAGTAAGTGAAAGAGCTGGAATTCAAACCTAGGTTCCTCTGACTTCAGAGCCTAAACTTTTAACCCCAACACTTGTAACATCCTGGGTGTCATATGATTTGCTCATACGATGCTCATGTCCTTTTGCTTATTAGAATTTGAAAATGCACATACACGCCCTTTGCCTTTTTGTTTGTAAATCAGAGGAATCCATGGTAACTGTAATGATGAGCACAGAGATGATGTTAGTGAGGGTGTTACTATGCGAATATGTGCGTATTCGCTCAACAAGTACTCATCAACAGTCTACTGGGTACACATCTCTGCCTTAAGGGTAGCGAGAAGTACCTAGAAAACACTCTCTCAGGAGTTTACAGGCTAGAAGAGAAGGTAAGGTGGGCTCATACTATACGATGTCAGTTTAGCTATCTCCTGCCTAGCTCCTTTCACTCTCTCCCCCGACCCTGTTTCTCCCTCTAGCTAACCATCTTGTTCCAAGGCTCTGGAGAGAATCCGCTAGGGCCACCATTTTTACTTACTCTGTTTAAATTTAATTTTATTGTGGTAAAATATATATAATATAAAAATTCCCATGTTAACCATTCTAAGTGCACAGTTCAGTGCCATGAATTATGTTCACAAGGTTGTACAACCATTGCCACTACCTATTTCCAAAACATTTTCGTCAGCCCAGACAGAAACTCTGTACCCATTAAGCACTCCTTTCTCTCTCCTCTCAGCCCCGGTAACCTCTAATCTACTCTCTGTCTCTATGAATTTGCCTGTTCTAGTATTTCACATAAATGGGATCACAGGATATTTGCCCTTTTGTGTCTGGCTTAGTTCGTTCAGCATAATGTTTCAAGGTTATGTACCATGTTGTAGCAAGTATCAGAACTTCATTTTTCTTTACGGCCTTACTTACTTTTCACCCCCCTCCCCTGCCATTAGACCACTTTGTTCTGCCTCCCGCGGAAAGTGAACTGGCCAAGTTCACCTATGACCTCTTTCTTAACTGCTGCAATGAACCGACATTTTCCAGACTTCATCCACAGGCCTCTCTTCTGCATTTACCACTGCTGACTCTTTCCTTGGCTTCTGTGACTGCATGCTCTCCTGGTTCTCCTCCTTCCTCTCTGAATGGTCATTCTCGATCCTTCCTAATGGCTTCACTTTCCTCATCTGCCGCTTAAATGCTGTGGGTCCTCAGGGTTTGGTTCTAGGCCCTCTTCTCACATCCACGGATACTGCCTCGTTAGGCAATCTTTTTCACTTCCACTGGTTAAACACCCCCTGCACGCTGACGATGCCTGAGATGTATAGCGCAGTCTCCATCTCTCTTCTGACTCCCTCCCTCCCTTCCTTCCCTCCACAATTATTTATTGTGTTCCCATCATTTAACTAAGTACTGTTCTAATCTGCGCATCCAGTTCTCTATTACACATCTTTCTTCACCTGGATATTCTACAGGTACCTCAAACTTTCTATGTTCTAAACTGAGCTCCCCTCCCTACCAACCCACTAAAAACAAACCACCCACTGTGTGTTTTTCTCTTGCGTGTCATATGTTGCTCCTCAACCCGGAATCTTGGACTCATTCTTTGTCCTTCCCCTTCACCCCCTGCGTTACCCTATGTTGTCTCCCCTAAAGCTGCCTTCTCCCCTCCATCTCTGCCGCTGTTGACTTGCCGCTCTCCTCATCTCTGGCTTGAACTATTGCAGTAGCTGTTCACTCAGTCCTCCAAGTGTTCTGAGACGGCTCCTTGCTACAAATCACTCAGCATAGAGGCTTCCTTCTCAGTAAGAGAGGGAGAGCTTAATAGGATAATGTGTGTCTGGAACTTAGTAGGGACTCAGTGAATGGTAGTTAGTATTATTCTACTTGGAACTTTCTCTGCTTGGACCTTCCCGCCATCAAGAGTGTCTCTCACCTGGAAAGTTGCGGCAGCCTCCGGCAGAACAGCCCCTCACCCAGCGGCCCTCATTCACAGACACAGTCCAGGTCTGGAGCTTGTCAGACTCCAGGGCATCAGCTGTGAGGTTGCAGATCTCCAGCTTTGTGAAATGGTAGATGAAATCATCATATGACATCCTAAGAGGTTAGAAGAAGAGAAAGACTCATGTGGAAGCAGATGGGGAGAGGCTGGGAAAGGTAAGGCTTCAGGGCTGGCATAGCCCAACAGAATATTTCAGAGGAAATCGATAATGGTCCCAGGGAGGACCCAGCCCTTCCTTTTTAGGATAAACACCATCAGTTCTCATGTATCCACTCCCAGCTGTCATCTCTTCCAATAATGGCTCAAAGTCAAATGCCCTTGATGGGAGAGCTGGGCAAATTAATTGTCCAGAAAGTTACTGCATGCCCCACCCCTGGGCATGGTGCTAGGCAAAGGGGAAAGAGATGGTTTGGGGGAGGACACAAATTAAGCAATTTTAAGAAGAATTTGAGGAGTATCACAAATAGGTTAACCCTAGTCCTGTATAAATTTCAGGGGTCCCTTAGAAAGTTCAAGGAACCCTGGTGACACAGTGGTTAAATGCTCAGCTGCTAACCAAAAGGTTGGCAGTTTAAACCACCAGCCACTCCCCAGGAGAAAGATGTGGCAGTCTGCTTCCGTAGTAAAGATTTACAGCCTTGGAAACCCTATAGGGGCAGTTCTACTCTGTCCTGCAGCGCAGCTGTAAGTCGGAATTGACTTGATGGCAATGGGTTTGGTTTGATTTTGGTTAAAAAGTTCCCTTTAAGCTGAAACTTGAAGGCTTGAGAGAAATAATGTGAGTGAGGGAAGGTTGACACTAGTTGAACATGGTAGGTAGAACTTTCTAGCTCAGAAGAAAAGCCTGCACGAGGCCAGGGAGCACAGGTGGCTGGAGCAGAGTGCTGCGGGATGGGCACAGATGAGGAGCCACAGCATGCTGACCTGGGCTAAGTCATCACTGTGACCTGGCAGGCTCCTCTCAGAGCCTCCTCCTTGCTGGGCCGCAGGCTGAGGGAAGAAGAAGAGGGTTCAAATCTGCCAAGTCTGGTGGCCTCTGCAACGGGGCTGAGGTTTGAGATTCCAGCTCCCTGCCCCATCCCCGAGCCTTCATGGTCCTCCTGGGGTCTGGACTCACCAGAACTCTCCATTCTCAGTGACCTGGTACTGTAGACGGGCCTTCTCATCGTTGTCCACAAAGCTCCAGTCCTTCCAACTGGTGGGAAAGTGGATGAATTATTGGTGGGGAAAAAGAGAAGGCCTGATGTGGGTTGGGGCAGTAGGTGTCAGGTAAATATAATGAAGTTGACAGATGTGTGTCTCCCACATTCTTTCCTAAATCCCCAGTCGGTAGGATGTGGCCCTGCATACAGCAAGTGCTAGATTCTTGCAGGCATGAGTCCCTGGATTCTTGCAGGGATAAGTGAAGGAATGCATGTGGACATCTGCTGGAGGCAGTGGGACAATAGGGATCAGCAGCTATCACAGCCTGTGGAGGGAGGCTGCTTGTCCACTGGAGATCCCCAGGGTCTAGACCTGTGCCTGCTATTTATTAGGTGCTCCATAAACACTTGCTGAATGGATGAACAGCTGAATGACCCAGGAATTACAGTGCACTGGGATAAGAGGTAAGACAGGACTAAAGGGCACACAGAGACATGTGCCACTCTGCCTCACCCTGGCCATAGTCCCATGCTGTCGCCATCCTGGGCATAAAAGAGGAGCTCAAGGGGCTGTCTCCATTCAGTAACGGCAATCAGGAACCAGAGATTGGGGGTGTGACTGTAAAGGCTAAGGCTTTGTGAATTTTCTGGAACCTTTGTAATAACTTTCCCCAGCATCAGAGCAACGGGCAAGTCTCCACTGACAGAGAGGTGGTGGTTAGGCATGTTGAGGTGCATTGGCTGGGAATCAAACCTGGGTCTCCCACATGGAAGGTGAACCACTGACCCACTGCGGCCCCCATTAAGCAATAGAATTCTTTGAACAGATGCATGTGCTTGTGTATGGGGACAGCCAGAGACAAAAACTCAGCAGTAGCCAAGTACTTCCATACATGATCACATTTCCTCCTCACAACAGCTCATGAGGTGGGTGCTATTACTGTTCCCATTTTACAGATAAGCGACAGAGACTCCGAAAAGGAAGTTACTTGCACAGTCCAGGACACAGCATTAAGACTCCCCTCTAGAGAAACCCCAAGAGTATGGCCCCCGGACACCCTTTTAGCTCAGTAATGAAGTCACTCTCAAGGTTCACCCTTCAGCCAAAGATTAGACAGGCCCATAAAACAAAATGAGACTAAAGGGGCACAACAGCCCAGGGACAAGGACTAGAAGGAAGGAGACGTAAGCTGGTAATAGGGAACCCAAGATCAAGAAAAGAGAGTGGTGACATGTCATGGGGTTGATAACCAATGTCATAAAACAATATGCGTGCTAACTGTTTAATGAGAAACTAGTTTGTTCTGTAAACCTTCATCTAAGGTACAATAAAAAAATTAAAAAAAAGAAAACAGTTAAACTAGAAACTAACATCCATGGATAGAGGTTATTAAAAAAAAAAAAAAAGACTCCCCTCTAGCCTGGGCTTGTCTCTTGCTTTCTAGAATCTTCCTTCCCAGTCCATTTCCCACCTAGTCAGCAAGCTGTCTGGGTCCCTGACTCCCCTGACTCCACTCCTGGCCCTTCCCTGGAGCCCACTCACCTGCACCCCTCTTCTCCTCTACTGGTCTTTTGTTTTAAGGGTGATTTCAGACCAAGCATCTGGAAGTACTTCATGGCTTGGCACCCAGTCCAGGTTTGTTCCAGACCCTGTTGTCCCCCGCCATGGAGTCCCGGCACCTACCGATCACTCCAGGAGCCATTCCACTCCACTTGGCCCCAGGGGTTCCGCAGTCGTACCAGCTTCACTTTCTCATCCTTGAACAGGGTCTTGGGCAAAGAGAAAAAGCTCTCAAGCTCAGGAGCCTCTGTCCGGAAAGGGCTGGGACAGGGATGGGGAGAGAATCCCCTACAGGAGCACCGTCCTTCCTCCCTGACACTGATCCTATGGAATGGGGGACGTGAGGGCCAGAACCTTAGGACTGAGTCTGCAGGAGTCATGGCCTTGGTCATCACCTCTCCTTCTTCTAGGAAGTGATATTCCAGGGAACATCCCAGCCATTATGAGCTCTGTGGGGGAAGGGGTGGGACGTATACAGTAGCACCCTGCTAGGACATTTGGTGTCTTGTGTGATTAGATAAAACTCCCCCACTGGTGGAGGAGCTATTGGAAGACACCTCCTCTAGGTGGACCAATTAGAGAAAGGTGCCCCACTGTCCCATCTCCTGCAATGAGCTGACGCAGCACACTGCCCCTCTCTGCCCATCCTTTGTACAGAGCACGACCTGCCCAGCTGTGAGCAATGGAACTGACCAGGTTCCTGCCTCCTACATGCCTCAGTAAAGCCCAGAAGTCCCAGAGGAAGCAAAACATTGTAACTTAACATGGAGAACAAGAAACAGGAGAGTCCATGAAGTCAATTTCATAAAATCGAAGTGACATTTCTATTTGTTCCTTGAAAACTTTGGGGAAATTGCCATCTTTAGCACTAAGAACAAAGGCAAACTGAGGACCATCTTGTGCCAAGATGCAACTCTACCAGTTCAGATTGCTGTGTGCCGTCAAGTCGATTCCGACTCATAGCAACCCTACAGGACAGAGTAGAACTGCCCCATAGGGTTTCCTAAGCTGTAATCTTTACAGGAGCAGATCGCCAGGTCTTCTCTCCCACGGAGCTGCTGGGTGAGTTCGAACTGCCAGCCTTTCCGTTAGCAGCCGAGCACTTAACCACTGTGCCACTGAGGCTCCCCTACCAGTTCAGATGGGCCCCTCCAATCCCTGGCACTCTGCTTGAACCTTAAGTGGATCCCCTGATTGGAGGCGCACTCTGCAGGTGGTGAAGAAGCACAGAAAGCTAAGCCCTGACTTCAGGAAGCAGCCGGGGCAGGACGGTGACCCAAGTAGCTCCCCAAGCCGCACGAAGCCCCAGCCAGGCTCACCTCCTCCAGCCCAGTGACTGAGTAGGCATGTCCTTTGACCAGCCCGCTGGCCATTTTTGTTTCATACTGAACCGGAACAATAGTCTGTGGAGCAAAAACCAGACAGCCTGTCAGTGGTGAGGAGCAAAAGTTCTGCTGCCTGGAGACAATGTTCTGAATCCTTTTCTGGGTTCTGTGAGGAAAAGGACCACTCCATGCCCCGAAAATGTGCTTCACAACTATAAGCATTCCCTCACTGGATTTTTTTTTTTTTTTTTTAGCAGCTGGGCTACAGATTTATTCAAGTGTAAAGGCAAATCAACCCGGGGATAACTGCAGATGAAGTATCTGATCACTTGCTTTTGTGAACCCTCTGATTTCACATGTTTAAAAAACTTTACTCTGAGCAATGGATATTAGTTAATTACTTTAAATGACCCTCGGAAGTCTGAGAGAACAGAAGAGGAACTAGGATGAAGGTAGATTGCAATTCTCCTGAGAAATGTTGGACCCTCACTGGACTTTGGAGAACGACAGAAGACAGCCCGGAGGAATGCCGTCCTTGAGCTGGCCACCCTGAGGAGGCTCTGCTCTGACAGAGAGCAGTGTGGATGCCGGGATGTGAGGTGGGCGAGAGCGCCCCTGCCCCTCCTTTCTGGACCCAGAGAGCCTTTAAGGGAGGAAGGGGGATAGATGGAGGCTGCCCGAGTCTTTGGGCTCCCCCTTCCCCTGAGCGCATTCAGGGTTTACTATTCCTGGAATAGGAAATAACCTTTTTCTTCACATCCTGTCACCTCCTCCACGCCCACCTGTTGGGTTAGTCACCATCAAGTCGATTTCCCACTCATGGCGACACCCTGTGTTACAGAGTAGAACTGCTCCACAGGGTTTTCTTGGATGTAATCTTAATGAAAGCACTGCTAGGCCTGTACCGCTCAGTGGGTTCGAACCACAAACCTTTAGTTCGCAGTTGAACACAAACAGTTTGCGCCACCTAGAACATGATAGTCAAGAAATCGAGAGGCACAAGTAAGTACCCTGGGAGACAATTCTGAGGAGGGAAGAGGAGAGGTGTCTTCAGACATGACTGTGTCTAAGGGTGCAGATGGCGCCCTGGTGGCACAGTGGTTGAGTGGCTGCTAACTGAAAGGCTGGCGATTCAAACCCACCCAGCACTCTGCAGGAGAAAGACGTGGCAGTCTGCTTCCCAGTAGCATCACGAAGGGGATGCAAGGACTGTGGATTGCACCAGGTGACACTGTCAGAGGGGTAACACCAAAATGACTGTCTAAAATTCTTGTGTTTTTCAGTAGAAATTTATTATTTTTATTAAAATATCCCTATAGTTAATTACAACAACAACAAAAATTTTTTGTAAGCCCAGCTTATACGTATCAATACATGTACAAGCCTAAACTCTACGCTGATTTACTTTTGAACCGTCTAAAGCACACTGGTCAGAGCTGTCATTATTACCCAATTACAATGACGCTTTGAATCACGTGGTTTTGTCTACATGCGCTACAAGCACGCGCTATTGTCTACATTGCTGCTGCTGTTTTTATTAGTCACTGATTTTGTCAGATTTTCTGGTGTTTTAGCTACAGTATTGTGGTAATTAGCACGGGGGGTGACATCATGAGTTACTGCATGGGGTGACGCCAACCCTAGTGATGCCGCTGCTGCTTCCGTAAAGATCACAGCCTAGGAAACCCTACGGGACACTTCTCCTCTGTCGCACAGGGTCGCTATGAGTTGGAGCTGATGCAACAGCACCTAACAACAACAACAATAATGTTGCAGAGGGAGCACCTCTATTTCCAGAAATCTCCATTGCAGCCACAGAGGAGCAGGATCACGAAAGCCCAGTGAGACTAGACAGGACTTCCGTGGCTTCACTTTGTCTGGTGACATAACCCATCTAAGAGGAACCTCCCAGAGCTACGCTAGGTTGTGTTCCTGGAACCTTTCTCAGGGGAGGGTATGGTGGGGCCAGAGTTTTGGTGTCTCAGCCTCTCCCAGATCTCAGTCCTCAAATGACCTAGACCGTGCTGAGTGGAAGAGGTAAGGGAGGGATGGGAGACTTGCTCAGCCTCTGTTCCAGACCTAGGAAGCCACTGGAAACGACTCTTTTGGCATTACCTAAGCATATCATTTGACCTAGCAATTTCACTGCTGGGAAGCTGTCCTATGGAAGCGATTGTGGATATACACAAAGATGTATCGATAAGGACGTTCATTATAGCATTTAAAAATAACAGCCAGTGCGGACCATGGTCTCGGGGAACATCTAGCTCAGTTGGCATAACACAGTTTATAAAGACAATGTTCTACATTCCAGCTTGGTGAGTAGCATCTGGGGTCTTAAAAGCCTGTGAGCAGCCATCTAAGATACTCCAGTGGTCTCATCCCTTCGGGAACAAGGGAGAAAGAAGAGAACAGGATACAAGGAAAAGATTAGTCTGAAGGACTAATGGACCACAGCTACCAAGGCCTCCACCAGACTGAGTCCAGTACAGCTAGATGGTGCCCAGCTACCACCACTGACTGCTCTGACCAGAATCACAACAGAGGGTTCTGGACAGAGCTGGAGAAGGATGTGGAACATAATTCTAACTCACAAAAAAAAGACCAGATTTACTGGCCTAAAGGAGACTGGAGAAACCCTGAGAGTATGGCCCCCAGATACCCTTTTAGCTCAGTGGTGAAGTCATTTCCGAGATTCACCGTTCAGCCGGGGAGTGGACAGCCCCATAAAACCAAATGGGACTAAAGAGGCACAGCAATCCAGGGACAAGGGCCAGAAGGCAGAAGGGGACAGGAAAGCTGGTGATAGGGAACCCAAGGCTGAGTAAGGATAGTGTTGATGTGTTGTGAGGTTGTTAACCATTGTCATAGGGCAACATGTGTACTAACTGTTAAATGAGAAACTATTTTGTTCTGTAAGCCTTCATCTAAAGTGAGAATAGCAGCACAATTGGAAGAGCGTAGTCAATGTCACTGAACTGTGCATGTAGAAATTTCTGAAATGGTGTATCTTTGGCTATGTGTATTTTCACCAAAACAAAAGGTTGAGAAGTTAGAGGGTTGACATGTTGTGGGGTTGTTAACCAATGTCATAAAACAGTATGTGTACTACTGTTTCATGAGAAACTATTTGTTCTGTAAGCCTTCACCTGAAGTACAATAAAAAAAATAAATAACAGCCAACATATTTTTTAAAAAAAGAAACAACCTAACTTTTCAGTAACAGCATAAAGTAAGTTATGACATGTAGGAATATTACACAGCCACTAAAAGAATGTCATGGGGGATACTTACTGGCTTATTAAGAATGTAAAACTAACTGAAAAAAATCAGGCTGCAAAAAGGTATATACAATATTACAGCATTTTAAAAACAAAATTATAGATTAAGTGTGAACATTAAAAAAATTCTAGAAGGACATATACCAAATATTAAGAGTGATTATCTTTAGATGGGGAAAATATAAATTAATGTTTCCTCTGCGCTTTTCTTCATGGCTCAGTATTTTTCAGTGAGCATGTATTCCTTCTAAAAGTACTAGAATATAAGCTCTATGAGGGGAGAGACTGTTTCACTGAGTGCTAGAATAGTGTCTGGTGCATAGTGGGAGCTCAATAAATATATGTTGAGTAAATTAATTAATTAATTAAAATAAAGAAAGTCTTTTTTGTGTTTCTGCCTGTTAATTTATTGTCAGAAAAATCACCTGGACCATGAGTAAGAAGGCTCTCCTACAGAGGTTCCCTCCAGACACTGGCTCTTCAGCCTTCTTCAGAGACCTTGGAGTGAGAAAGTTATTCCATCTCGGACCCTTGGAAAGCCCCATGTGGGAGTCTGCAGGTAAGGCACTGGCTGCTGAGGGGAGTCTGACCCCAACGGGGCCAAGTCATGCAGGTTGGAGGGGTGGTCAGTCCTGACCATTGGAGGTGTACACACCCGGATTGGTCTGTCATCTGAGCCTCTGGGGTCAAGAGCTGAGTCTCTGAGCCGTGAATTATCCATATTCCTCACCATCCGATCAATCAGCTCCCCAATGTTCAGACCAGAAGGAGACGTCCCATAGGTCATGTTTGTCCCATCCTGAGGCCCAGCAAGAAAGGCAGGGGACAGTCCAGGAGAGGGAGAGAGAGCAAACAAAGGAAGGTGGGAAGGGAGGGAAGTAGAAAGAAGGGAGGGGACAGACAAAGGAAAATAGGAGAGATAAATATAGTATGAATGGAGAAAAGATGAAGGGAAATTGATGCAGAAAGAAAATGTTCGTCCATGGTGTTTTATGCTAACAGATCTTCCCAAACTTGCCTGTCCATTGGGAGTGCTGGGAGAGGAAGGAGCAGGAATTCAGATTGAATCCCTTCCTCAGCAAGGAAATTCCCAAGACTATTTTATGTTGAGCTGACGCTAGGCAAGGTGTATCCTGGAAACTCAGGCAGTCTGTCCTTGGCCTGCCATCTCCTTACCTCTCCCCTTCACTCCTGTCTCAGTTCACACCACCTTGTTACACAGAGAGGGGGACTACAGGCTGAGCTTCTGCTGTGATAACAACACAAAGCCTATGTTCCAATTAGGGGGTACGGTCAACACTCACTGACTGGGAGGCTTTTTTAGGGAAACAGCGGGCTCAGGTCCACAGCCAAACACGTGGCCAGCTTAACCAGGGCATGCTGGGACTGACTAACACTGGCAAGAGGGGCTAGCAATGACATGGGCCTCTGGACCTATTTCCATCTAAATCCCAGGACTTGGAATGTACTTGTCTGGTCCCTTTATTGAAAATCCCTTGAAAAATTCCCAGCTTTCAAAGTTGAGATCCAAAACATTTGCCCTGTCTCACAAGAAAGATAGATGCTGCTGTTCAGTTGGTAAAGGGCTTCCCAACACTTGGCTACTCTCTGCCCTGTACCCCACCCCAACCCTAGACTTACATCAATGGAGCAGCCCATGAGGGAGCCTCTCTCAATGGCTTTCTTCATGATCTTGTACATGTCTCTGGGAGCTTCCTTTATGTCAAAAAACTCGGTCACCCCTCCTGTGAAGTCCTCCATGGCCTCTGTGGTGTTCCCACCTTTCAGGGCTTCGTAGGAACCATGGAGCCTTGGAGAGAGGATGAGGACCAATCTGGGATCACAGGGTTCCAGGAAACATGATCCATTGCCACCAGCACTTTACTCTTGTTCTCTCATTTCATTCCCCAACAACACTGTGAGCTAATGGGATGGATACTATGATTCCCTTTCTTCACAGTGGAGAAACTGAGCTCAGGAGGCTAAGAGACTCACCCAAGGCCACAGAGAACCAGAAGAACTCTGGTTGGAACCCAGATCTTCCCATCTCATTTCTACTACTCCTTGAACCCTGAGGCAGGGCTGCACCGAAGCCTTAGCAGCTGGGGTATGCATTCTAAGAGACAGACAACATGACCTTATTCATATACTACAAGCTCATGAGGTTGAGCCAACCCAAACCTTGGTTCTGCGCTCCAGAGGCACCATGCTCTGATCCAAGAATTTCAACACTGCCATGAAAGTGTTGATTTAGAGTGTTGATTAGTGCAAATTTAGAGAGCTCACTATGCAAAGCTAAAGCTGAAGATTTCCTACCCAAATATTCATTTCTTCTCTTAAATAGGTGTTTTTAGTTAGAGTTGGTGCTGCCTGGACCTGCCCTTCGCTGACTTTGTCATAGCTGAATGCATACACATTTACACATATCCACATATATAGAAGCATGCATCCTTCTGTAAGTGAGACCTTGGCTGGCATTTGCAGCCCACCTCCTCACCTCTAGCTCTGCTTCACATTCTAAAGTGTTGCCTTACTTAGCATAGGCCTTCTCCAGTAGAGCACTCCAGAACTCATCGCGGTGGTTGGATTTGGTGAAAACCAGTTGATTGTTGTAAGTCGGCAGACAGTCGTCAATAACCACATCCACCCAGTCTCCATAGCGCCAGAACTGCACAGAAGCATCAAGCATAGAGTCATAGCCACATATTACCACTGGAAAGTGGGTCTCTATGCTCATGTTCCTTAGGGGGTCTCTTGGATCCCAAAGCAGTGCCATTTCCTAGGCTCTGCATCTTGGTGCTTGTTCCTACTATTCTGGGCTCGAGGTAGGTGAATCTATCTCTAACTGGACTGTGAGCTCCTTGAGGGCAGGGAGTGAGTTACACACCATTTTGCCTCTTCCACAGAGCCCAGCTCAGCACTGGATATGGATATGGCCCAGTGAGTATCTTAGGACTTGAGCTTCTCACTCCCCTGCTCAGTAGATCTGAGGTGGGGCTTGGGTATCAGCATTTTTAGGTGCCCAGATGATAATAATGTGCAGCCAAAGTTGAGAACTACTGGTCTAGCTGAAGGTGATGTATTGATTTATGTATTTCTTGATGACAAACAATGCAGAAACTGCTGCTGAAGACTGAAATAGAGAAAATTGACAAATTATTGTCAATAATTTCAATTCTGGGTATTCTTTTTTGAACAAATCAGCTTTAACTGAAGGTCAGATGTAGTTTAGTCTCCTTCCCAATGACATTTTCTCCCTTATTGAAAACAGGGCAAAAATTTCAGTCTTATCTTTGAGCTCTGGTGGTACAAATGGTTAAGTGCTCGACTGCTAACTGAAAGGTCTGCAGTTTAAACCCACCCAGTGGCTCCTTGGAAGAAACATCTGATAATCTGCTTCCATAAAGATTGCAGCCAAGAAAACTCTATGGGGCAGTTCTACTCTGTCACATGGGTTGCTATGAGTTGAAATCGACTTGATGGCACCTAACAACAACAATCCCCCCCCGGCACGACTCTTCAGATATCAGAGGGAAAATAGTAGATTGATGGCAAGGGAAGAAGCAACATTCAGGACCTGGCTGCCTTGCCCACGCTCAGAGGGCAGCAAGACGCTGGGCCTGGGAGGTACCTGAAGAGAAACCTGAGACCTCAGTCCTGAAGTACAAGATCAGTGGCTACATCAACTTATGATCTGGGTCAGTCTGGGAATGTTAAGGAGGCTTCAGAACTGGAGACTGACTCCACAAAACCCCAGTATCTATTAAAAACCAAAACCAAACCTGTTGCTGTCAGAATTGACTTGACGTGACCCTTAGGACAGAGTAGAACTGCCCCATAGGGTTTCCAAGAAGCAGCTGCTGGATTCGAACTGTCGACCTTTTTTGGTTAGCAGCTGAACTCTTAACCACTGAGCCACCAGGGCATATGGGTTTCACTTCAGTTCTGGGCCAGCAACAGGATCTGGTTCTGTGCCAGGACAATTTGGACCCAGAAAATTTCCAACAGCTGAATTGATTCTGGAACCAAGAGACTCAGTCCTGGGCCAACCAGAAGTCTGGTCCCCAGACTGATTAACCAGACTTTTCTCTCACGGCCTAGAAGAGGTAAGTGATAGACCTGCTTTAAAGAGAAAGAAGTAAACAGGAGCTGTAGTTCTTCAGCTGCGGGTTCCTTTACAATCTGAAGGGCCGCACGGATTCATAGTGCTAATATGTTAGGGCCCTACTTGAGAAGGTCGGCAGGCAATAACACAACAGCCAGCCCACTGGAGAGGCAAAAATAGACCCACATGCCAGCAAACAGGATGTTTTTCGTCCTTTCTGGGTCAGAGCGGAAGGTGAGTGTGTGTGGGGTTGGGGCAGGGGGCAGGATAAACAACTGCTTCCTCACAGGCTTGATGCCTTGAGGGGACACGGCCCACTGTCAAGGATGGGAAGGTGGGTGGAGCCTTTCCTGGAGCTGCTGGGAAGTCAAGGCCAGGAGACCACAGGTAGGCGGACTGCAGCTGGCCCTCTTCACTACACTTCCGTTACCTCACCTGGAAGTGGAAGATGCCCGCGTAGTTGTTGGTGAAACTCTGATCATGGGGTATGACTCGGAACAGTAGCCGCTCGTTCAGGGTCAGGCAGGCGATGGCCGCGAGAAACCAGCAGTCCCCTGCAGGCAACCACACACACACACAGGTCACAGTGGGGCCTGCTCCTCCAGAAGAGGAAGACCCATCCCAATCAGCTGCTCCACTTTGGGGTTCCTCTAAAGAGCTGGAGTTTGCTTGATGTTCATTGCCCTACTTCCAGATGACCTTACAGAGGGAAGGAGGCTTTGACAGGAGTCCCTTGACAACATGATAAGCAGGCTAACTACTCCCTCATAGAGGAAAGTTTTCCTAAAGGCTGTAGGAAATTCCTCCATGTGCAATATAGACTTGGCTCCTCTTTGGACCTCCATGGAGAGACTGAGCAGTAGGTCATCATAACTGGGTCATTCTTCCTGACCCCTGAGGGAAATCCGCTCTGCCCAAACCTCGGCAGTGTGAGCCCACTGCCTCCTTCGGACCTCAGCAGAGAGCAAGATCAGGGCACCACCAGCCAAACAGATTTGTGTTGTAGGGAAAGCCAGTTGGGCAGCTGCCTGGAACCAGTCTATGGGGGGCACTAAGACATATATAAGGAGCTCTGGTGACGCAGAGCTTAAGCACTCAGCTGCGAACCGAAAGTTCAGCGATTCGAACCCACCTAGAAGTTCTCAGGGAGAAAAGGCCTGGCAATCTATTCTTGTAAAGATGACAGCCTAGGAAACCCTATATGGGGCAGTTCTACTCTGTCATATACGGTCACTATGAGTTGAAATCGACTCAATGGTGCACAACAAGACATACATGCCTGACAATGGAATGAGATGGAGAAATTTTCTTACTCCCCAGACCTCCTTTCTGGCAGAGTGCAGTATGTGTAGTTGGAGGTGACATTTTGCTGTGTGTGTGTGTGTGTGTGTGTGTGTGTGTACATGCACATGGCTGGTCACACACAGTCATAGAGCTGCCTTCTAAGGAGGCTGGGTACAGTTAACTGCAGTCTTCTGTTTTGCTGTGTGGGATGTGATAGTGTCCTTGAGACTGGATAGGGAAGGCTGAAAGCTACCAGTAGCCACTCTCTCCTTCCCTCCTTCCCTGCCCTGTGAAGCAGCTTCTCCTTTGAAATAAGTCATTGGTTTGAAGGGCCAGATTATTAGCTTCCCAGAGCTCTGCCAGGGACCCTTCCCTCAGGTGTAGGAACACAGTTATCTAATCCCTCCCCCTCAGCCTCTCTTTCTGTGGCCAGATAAGCCAAACTCCTTTTATTTGGTCTTGGATCCCCTTTTCCCTCAAAATTTTTTTTTAATGGATGCCACAGTTTATTGTTTTTTTAAACATTAAAGAAAAACTGGTTGTGTTGAGTTGACCCTGACTCATGGCGACCCTACGTGTGTCAGAGCAGAACTATGCTCTATAAGGTTTTCTTTTTAATAATTTATTTATTTTTGTTGTTGTTGAGAGTATACACAGCAAAAACGTATACTAATTCAAGAGTTTCTACATGTATAATTCAGTGACGTACATTACTTTCTTCGGGTTGTGCAACCATTCTCACCCTCCTTTTCTGAGTTGTTCCTCCCCCTAAGGCTAACATAAACTCCTTGCCCCCTAAGGTTTCCCTCAAGGATTAAATTCTTTCTGTTGATGCTCTTTTCTCTCCAGTTTTACTTCATGGAGCTTTCTAGAAGTTCACACCTAAAGATAATACTTCTGAACAAGAGGTGAAGCTAGCTAATCAAACAGAAAATTGGATGCCCACTAACATGGCAAATGTCATCTTTGTTGAGTGACTCATTTAATATGGGTCTATTCTGGAGCAATTTAAACAAGAATTTGAGTTACTAGCGCTATTTTCAGTAGTGCATGCTATCTGCATGTATAGGTTCTACATGCCTAAGAAACATGCTTGGTATATAGACTGTCATAGAAGTGTCTTCTAAGGAAGATGGTCAGGGCTTTTGTTTTGCTGAGGGGGTGTACAAGCATTCTTGAGACTAGAGGGAAGGCTGTAGAATGAGACATACCTCCTGTGACATAAGGCAAAGTACTAGTGAGACGTGGAAGTGACAGAAATTAAATGAAGCAATCACCAACACATAGATAAATAAGCATAAAGTAACTGATATGAAACTCTCCTGAAAATTAATTAAAAGCAAAAGCATATTGTTGTGCCTTTACTTTCTGTAAAGGAATTTTAATTACCCTTTGATCATCTGGTTGGATTTGACCCCCGGGGACATTCCTACCTAGATCTCCTTGGCAGATGTCAGTTCTATTGGCTCCACCAATGATAAATTGAGGATTCTTACAAATTTCCTGTGAAGCAAAAAGGAAATGATCAGGTAATAATAATAGTAGCTACTATTTATTGAGTTTCATTATGTGGTACTGGCACCATGTATCACACATCACTCATATAAGCCCGCCAAAAGAGCCCTGTGTATTGAACACTATCATTCTTATTTTTTGAATATAGGGAGGTGGGACCAAGATGGCGGAGTAGTCAGATGCTTCTGGTGGACCCTATTACAACAAAGACCCGAAAAAACAAGTGGCAATCTGGGAGCCCTGAACATCAAAGGCAGAGTTGAGGAACCAGACTGAGTAGCAGGGGGAGGGAGAGACGGTTTGGAAGCAGAGAAGAGTTGCCAGACCTGACCCGGTGAGAACCTGAGCTCTTCAGGCATGATCAGCTCATGGGTGAGTGGTGAGGCAGGCAAGCGGTGGTGCTCGGGAGGCGCATTTTCTGCACCGGGGGAGACCAGGTGCCAGAGAGTCTACATGGCCACCCAGAACCAGTGAGAAGCAGCCCTCATTGGCGAAAGATAAGTACTTGCTTACGGCCTACCCACGGATCAAAAACACCCCCCTTAGGGAAAAACTTACTGCCATTTACCTCCCCACCCCCTGCTCTGCACTGGGTCCTGGACCAACTTCAGCAATTACTGAGTCCCCTGGGCTGGAAGTAGAATCTGCCAAGCCCGGAGCCATTCTCCCTGCCCTGGAGAGTGAACAAATTAACAAACAGGGGAAAAAATAAACTTCTGGCTTCCCTAAGCCAGAAACCGAGGGTAGGCACAGCTCCTTTGCCTAGGCACAGGCATAAGGGATCCACAGACTTTGAGTGCCTTTCCCCCTGCATAGACTTGTGTGGGCCCATCTCAACAGCGTAGGCCCTCATTACTACAGTACAACAGGGTATATACTGGAACTCTATCTTCAACTGTTTCAGCTGTGAAGTGGCAGGTTCTTGACATTTGACACTGCTCTGCCCATTAAGCAGGGTCTTCACCTACCCACATCAGGGGCCTGAGGACTGGTGGCTCCACCCAATGCCACCTAGCCACCTGAGATAGGGCCCAGGAATAAGAGGTGCCCTCCAGTCCTTACAGCCAGCAGCATTAAGTGCTCATAGTCTGGCTGCAAAACCCACCCACCAACATGCTCTAGGGAACAGGGACACACCTTCCTCCTCAACACTTGGGGGCGGCCGTCAGCCCCCTGCCTTACTCACTGTGTGTCCCCCTGCTGCAGCCAGATGCCTGTGCCTACACCAATCACCCATGCCTGTCTAGGACTGTAAGTGAGAGCCTACACCAGGGCACCTGCACTGAATCCATACAGGAGGAGTGGGCAGACTCCTGAGCTCACATACCTAGTAACAGATCTAACCACCTGAGGACATTAGAGCTTCAAAGGTGCCAATAATCAAACTAGCTCGTATGAGCAGCCTATTTGGGGATATCAAAACAAAACAAAAAGCTAGGACACAGTCAGCAAACATAAAATAAATAAATATAATAACTTATTGATGGCTCGGAGACAACAGTCAATATCAAATCACATAAAAAGGCAATCCATGATGGCTTCAGCAAGCTCCCAAAATAAAGAATCTGGAAATTTTCCAGAGGAGGAAAATTTCTTGGAATTACCAGAGGCAGAATAGAAAAGATTAATATACAGAACTCTTCAACAGATTAGGAAGGAAATTAATCAAAATGCAGAACACGCAATAGAAGAAATTAAAAAGATTAGAGAAGAGCATAATGACAAATTTAACAGCCTGCAAGAATCCATAGAGAGACAGCAATCAGAAATTCAGAAGATTAACAATAAAAGTTCGTAATTAGATACTCAATAGAAAGTCACAGGAGCAGAACTGAGGCAATGGAAGTCAGAATGAGTGAGACTGACGATAAAGCACTAGACACCAACTTATTTGAGGAAAAATCAGATAAAAGGATTATTTTTTGAATACAGAAACTGAGGCTCATAGAGGTTAAGTAACTTGCCCAAGGACACAGAGCTAGAGTGGTGGAAGCCAGAAGCAGTTGCACATGGCTTTCCCACGCTGTCATACTATGTGAGTCAGGGTGCAGCTTGAGAGCTAGGGCAGTGTCATTCCTGTCACGGCTTTGGCAAAGTAGCAGCAGAAAGCATGGCTTTTATTTTTTCTATGCCAGAAGAAGAGGTGCGGGAAAGGAAAATAAGGACCCTTCTCCCCAAAGATGTGGCAACATAGATATACAGAGTCAGCACGTATCCCAGGATCCACAGGACTTGAGAGCTGAGAAGAAAAGACAATAAATTTGGCGTGGGCGTGAAGAGTGTGCTTCTTAGTTCAATCAGATACATGAGACCAACTGGGTGGCTCCTGTCCGGAGGCAGGATGAGAAGGCAGGAAGGGACAGGAACTGGTTGAATGGACAGAAGAAACGCAGGGTGGAAAGGGGGAGTGTGCTGTCACATTATAGGGATTGCAACTAATGTTACATAACAAAATGTGTATAAATTTTTGTATGAGAAATTAACTTGAGTTGTAAACTTTCACCTAAAGCACAATTAAAAAAAAAAAATTGGCGTGGGTCTCGCAGGCGTCTCTGTCCGTTGGGAGTGCCTCTCCTTATGCAAGCTTACCAAACCGGGCACCAGCTCCAGCACTTCAAAGTCTAGGAACCACGGACTGTGCGCAGCCCAACACAGCAGCCTCCCCGAGCAGCCCTGGTTTTACCAACAGAGGGTGCTCTTGTTTCTGTTTGGATGTGTCTTAAGATTTGTTTTAACTTTTTTTTAAATTTCAAAATAATTACAGATTCTGTGGTTTGGTTTTAACACCATTCTTCACAGCTTGCTAATTCTTGACACAGCTCACTTGCCCTGTCTTCCCTCCTCATCCACAACCACCCCAGTACGCCCAAGTGTGCTGAAGCTCCCAGTACTCAGGGACCTCTCTCTCAAACATCCTCCTGAAAGAATATACCAATTTACAGTCTCACCATCTGGGACTGAGAGTGTCCATTTTACCCTCATGAACACTCAGCATCAGAATTAATTTTTAAAACATCTTTGCAAATTTAATAAAGGAAAAATGATATTTCAGTGTTGTTTTAAGTTTAGCCATTTATGAATTGTCAGTTGCAGCAGTACATGGACAGGGAACTGCCAGAGATTCAAGTCAGATTCAGAAGAGGATGTGCAATGAGGGATATCATTGCTGATGTCAGATGGATCCTGCCTGAAAGCAGAGAATATCAGAAAGATGTTTACCTGTATTTTATTGACTGTGCAAAGGCATTTGACTGTGTGGATCATAACAAATTACGGATAACATCGTGAAGACTACGAATTCCAGAACACTTAATTGTGCTCATGAGGAACCTGTACATAGACCAAAAGGCAGTCATTCGAACAGAACAAGGGAATACTGTGTGATTTAAAATCAGGAAAGGTGTGCAACAGGGTTGTCTCCTTTCACCATACTTATTCAATCTGTATGCTGAGCATATAATCTGAGAAGCTGGACTATGCGAAGAAGAATGGGGCATCAAGTTTGGAGGAAGACTCATTAACAACCTGCATTACGCAGGTGATACAATTTGCTTGCTGAAAGTGAAGAGGACATGAAGCACTTACTGATGAAGATCAGAGACTACAGCCTTCAGCATGGATTACACCTCAACATAAAACAAAAATCCTCACAACTGGATCAGTAAGCAACAACACAATAAACAGAGAAAAGATTGAAGTCATCAAGGATTTCATTTTACTTGGATCCACAATCAATGCCTGTGGAAGCAGCAGTCAAGAAATCAAATGATGTATTGCATTGGGCAAATCTGCTGCAAAAGACCTTTTTAAAGTATTAAAAAGCAAAGATGTTACTTTGAGGACTAAGGTGCGCTTGACCCAAGCCATGGTATTTTCAATCACCTCGTATGCATTTGAAAGCTGGACAACGAGTAAAGAAGACCAAAGAAGAAGTGAAACTTTTGAATTATAGTGTTGGCCAAGAATATTGAATATACCATGGACTGCCAGAAGAAGGAACAAATCTGTCTTGGAAGAAGTACAGCCAGAGTGCTACTTAGACGCGAGGATGGGTGAGACTTAGTCTCACGTAATTTGGACATGCCATCAGGAGGGACCAGTTCCTGGAAAAGGACATCATGCTTGGTAGAGGGTCAGCGAAAAAGAGGAAGATCCAGAATGAGATGGATTGACACAGTGGCTGCAACAGTGGGCTCAAACATAGCAACAGTTGTGAGGACAGCGCCGGGCCAGGGAGTGTTTTCTTTGTCGTACGTAGGGTGGCTGAGTTGGAACCGACTCAATGGCACCTAACAACAACAACAACAACTGTTTATGTCTTTGTCCATTTTACAATTTGAGTGTTGGAATTTTTCTATAAATTTATAGTAACTTTTTAAATTATTACTTTTTGTATTGTTAAAAATAATCTCCCAGCTTTTGTCCTTTTTTATCTGGCTTATTTCACTGAGTGTAATGTTTTCAAGGTTCATCCATGTTGTAACATGTATCAGGACTTCATTTCTCCTACGGTTGAGTACTATTCCATTGTGTGTATACACCACATTTGGTTTATTCACTCATCTGTTGATGGACGTTCAACTTGTTTCCACGTTTTGGCTGTTGTGAATAGTGCTGCAGTGAACACTGGTGCGCATGTATCTGTTTTTGTTCCTGCTTTCAGCTCTTCGAGGGTAGGAGTGGAATTGCTGGATTGTATTGTATGTAATGATATTTTAAAGAACTAATTGGTCACCTTCAAAGGATGACAAAGAACCAATTTATTGTCTTAAAAACTAAGCTTAAAGAGAAAGAGTCAAGTATTTAGCTTGCTTTTTCTTTCTCTTAAACATCAGCTAATTCAGCCAAAAATGATCAATCACTAATATGTGTAAAAATTTACCTGTAAAAGTGTTATTTTATATATTGTACTCGTCTACATAGTTTATTAACATTAATGGCTAAAATTTATTGAGATCATACTTTGTACCAGGCACTATCCTAGCTGA